AGCAGAGGAGGAGTGGATTGAGGAGGGCATGGCAGAAGAGAGGTACGGGGAGGGAATGAGAGGAGGGGAAGGAGGGAGAATTGGAGTAAAGATAAATAAAGTTTAAAAAAAAAAGATGTGAAACAACAACAAAAAAAAAAAAACTTGTTGTTTTGTTTTATTGAGACAAGGTCACAGTACATTATTCAACGTAGCCAGGACATCTTTTGTTCGTTTAATTTTTATTTACTTTTGGGGGATGAAGAGATGGCTGCTCTTCTAAGAGGACCTGGGTTTAATTCCCAGCAACCACACGGTGGCTCACAACCGTCTGTAATAGGGTCTGATGCCCTCTTCTGGCCCACAGGCATATGTGCAGACAGAGCACTTGTGCCTAAATATATATATATATATATATATATATAAATAAATAAATAAATAAATAAATAAATAATTTTTTAAAAAAGAGAAAAAATATTTACCTTTATTTTATATGTTTGAGTGTTTTGCCTGCATGTATGTCTGTATATCTTGTGTTTACATGGTGGCCATGGAGTCCAGAAGAAGGAGTCATATCACCTAGAACTGGAGTTATAGCCAGTTGAGGGTTGTCCTATGGGTGCTGGGAATCAAACCCTGGTTTTCTGCAAGAGCAGAAAGTGCTTTTATCCACTGGGCCATCTCTTTCTTCAGCTCCCCTAGCCAAGAACTCTTAAATTCAAATGATCCTTTGCCTCAGCCCACTGAGCATCAGGAAGCAAACATTTTTAAGTTCGTCTTCAAAGAGTAATATGTGTAAACCCAAGCCTGGACCTGAAACTAAACCATGAAGCTTGGCCCAGCTGTGAAAATTAAAAGGCACAGGATCAGTGACCAGATCACTGTAGTGGTGTTCCAAGTACTCAATTATCTGTAGTCACCAAAATCACCCACATAAATTCGATTAACGCAGAAATAGAAAAGTATACTTAGGAGGCACCTGGTTGTAGAAGTACCTGCTTTCAGCGTATTACAAAGACAAATGAGAATTTACCAAGGACTCTGAGTATTGGATAGAAAAGGAAATGTTGCCACGATTTGGGAGGTAACACCATGTCAGCATCCATCCCTGCACTGGTAAGACCCTGAGACATCGTGCGCAGCCTCACCTGTCAGAGTGATGCTCTGCTGCACAAATACAGGGGATTCCAGTCAGTCTGGACCACTCTGCATGTTACCTAGGAAACCATTCTTTGTTTTTGCTCTAGCTAGAAGAAAAAAACGGTGAGTGGAGAACTGCCTCCGAATCCTCTAGTAATGCCTGTTCTGTAGCTCCACAGGCCTCACTGCTTGCCTGTCTTCTAACCCCTGCTCCAGTTTGATCTGGATCTGCACTGTCTGACCACTGCCCACACACACACACAAAGCATTATGGGTAAAGCCTCCGAGTGTTTGGTTTTCCTCTGTGCTTGCTGCATTGTGCTTGGTGTGTGTGTGTGTGTGTGTGTGTGTGTGTGTGTGTGTGTGTGTGTGTGTGTGCTTCGAGCCAATGTTTAAAAATCAGGTTGTCGCTCATAAAACCTTTATCTGCTGCCGCTTCCTCTGAAAACCTGAAGTACCTGGTCGTACTGAAGCTGTATCTCCCCATGAGGTAATCTGCCAGAGCGGAGCGGCTATACACTTACCCGGGGCCCAGGATTCCATTAGGAGACTGCCAGGGACCGTGTCCTTCCCAACACTGAGCATTAATTTCCATCCACCGGCATGGCACGCCCATCCCTCTGTCGTCCCATGACAAAGGAAGTGTTCTCTTTCCCCGTGTCTGGATGAGAAGCCGAAAAAACAAGGCAGATGATGAGAAGGTTAAGGAGAGCCAGGCTTTTAGCACAGGGCTATAATCTCCTCTGCCGCTTGGAGGAGGATGAGTTCAAGGCCAGCTTGGACAACTTACTGAGAACCTGTCTCAAAGAGTAGAAAAGCAGGTTAGGGACACAGCTTAGTGGTAGAATGCCTGCCTGGCATGTGCAAAGGATTTAATCCATAGCACTAAAATAAACAGGGTAGGTAGGTGGGTGGGTGGGTGGGTGGGTTGGTGGGCGGATGGACAGACAGACAGACGGACAGACAGACAGATGAATGTCATATAAAGCCAGACATGGCAATCTCAGCATTTAGGAGGCCAAGGAAAGAAAATTGTAATGAGTTCGAGGCTAACCTGACCTACATAGTGAATACCAGGCCAGCAGGGCTCCGTAGTGAGACTGTCTAAAGGGAAAAGAGGTGATTCTCGGAGTGAGGACGCAGCCGCGGAAGCTGACTGCTGAGAAGCGACCCCGCTCGTTCCCTCCTTGACATTTCCCCACTTCCGCTCCCTACAGCTTTGCAACCCCGAGTCTGGCCTCCAGGTATCTGTGTTCTTGGACTGTGTGCTGCACTCTGGCTTCCCTCCCAGGTCTAGCTTGCTGCCTCCTTAATCGACCTGCCATGCCTCTGGAAGTTAAGGTGCTGGGTGGCTCTTAATTGCTTCTCCGAACGGGCCTGCCTCATTCTCTCCATCAGTCCTGATTTCTGACTTCTACACATGGGCCATCATGTCTGTGTCTAATTCAATAGCAAGTGCTGTCTGTATACTCTGTGATTCTTCACAGAAAGGCTTCAGAATGCCCTGGCTCAGTTACTCCCTATCCATTCTGTATTCCTTAGAGCTGGTAGGACCGTGAACTAATTTAGCCAATTACCTTTAGGAAAAAAAGAAGACAGGCCATGGTCATCGGCCAGTGATGCTGAAGCCTGTTTGGTCAGCACCCAGCACCAGGCCCACCATGCTTTGCTCACCTCGGCTGCAGTTTTTCTACCTTGTCTGGATGAGGGAAAAACTCCCGTCCACTCTCTCCAGCCTCCTTTACCAGAATTGATGACTTACAAATCGGAGATTCGGGCTGGGTGAGCTGCAATGCGCAGCAGCAGGAGGTTCCGGACTTCTAGGCCAACACCAGCTACCTGAGTCCTTGTCTCTAAAGAGGGCAGAGGCAGGAGGGTCTGGAGTTCAAGGCTTGGCTGTGGAGGGACTTCTGCACGGGCTGTATGAGACTGAAGGGGAAGAAAACCGCAGGCTTTGGTTTGGTGATGTTTTTTTGTTTTGCTTTTGTTTGTTTGTTTGTTTGTTTTCAGAGCTGAGGACCGAACCCAGGGCCTTGCCCTTGCTAGGCAAGCGCTCTACCACTGAGCTAAATCCCCAACCCAAGTCTGGTGATGTTTTAAGGCGGCAGCTCACCATATGTACCAGCCTTGGACCCATGGTCCTCTTTCTTCATCTCCACAGTGCTTGGAAACACATGCGAACCAAGCATGCCCCAGTGGAATAAATAGTGTACGCTTTGGGGGTCATTGAGATGGCTCAGTGGGGAAGGTCTCTTGCTACCAAACCTGATGTGACCTGAGTTTGATCCTCAGAATTTACATGAGAAAACTAACTCCAGCCTGAGGTGGTGGCCCATGCCTTTAATCCCAGCACTCGGGAGGCAGAGCCAGGTGGATCTCTGTGAGTTCGAGGCCAGCCTGGGCTACAGAGTGAGATCCAGGACAGGCTCCTAAGCTACACAGAGAAACCCTGTCTCAAAAAAAACCAAAAAAAAAACTAACTCCAGCAAGTTTCCTCTGACCACCATGAGTGCACTGTGGTACACACACACACACACACA